CCCCCCCCCCCACAATGTATTATTTCCCCTGTAAGAGTTGTCTCCCTTGCCTACCGCAGGTTTATACTGTCTATCCAGTTCATCTAATGCCTCAGCAGTCTCAGCATTGAGGGCTTTCAGATGGTAACGAGGATTCTTCTTTGCAATTTCTTCATCTGAAAATGTCCATTCATTGGTTAAGACCATGCAGTATGAGAGGTCAAATTATGTTCAATCCAGAAATGATAACTACTGATATCAAGATGCGAAAATATGAGTTTGGTGGTTTTTTAATTTTAGCATCCATGAATCAGCATCCTTGAAATTCCAGGGGTAACAATCAATTACAATCTCTGCGCCCCTTGAATATGTCATGAGAAAATTGGAGGCTCTGTATGGCCACCTTGTGGTTGACACATGAAGACTAGTTTGATCCATTGATGTACATGAAACAATCGCAAGGCACTCCTCTGTAATCTTTAAAGGACAGGTATCACCTATAGCAATTGGTCAGTTTTTCTTACCTGAAACCATTCATATAGCTTAATGCATGCCTTTGATTTTGTCATGACATGTTCCAGAAGTGCAGAGAGTGTAGGTCAGCATAACCCTGGGATTTTGAGGATAATTAATCAGATATCAAATTAAAACTTACTGTAATTTAGAATTAACTTAATGTTTGCTTGTTCCTTCAGGAAATATGACCGATTTAAAAACTTTGAGAAACTAATTCAAATTACAGAACTAGACATGACATTACACTGTAACAGACATAAAATGTATACAATGTACATTGATATTCAAAAGTTTGTAATATTTAAAAGATTATGTTTGAGATGGTAAAAGAACCTGATAATGTCCAATACTTACCTTCATCGCCAACCTTGAGACCATGTTTGATATGGTGAAAGGAACTGATGTTGAATTTGTCAAGATTTGTTGGGTCCTACAATGATAGAAAGATCAAGAATAAGATGTCTTCCTTGATTTTATGTATATTTGTATATGTTTACCTGGGAAAGTGGTGACTATTTCTTTTACATCACTGATATTTATGACCAGCCCAGGTTGGCCATAAGGTCTGGGAAATAAATTTTGGCAGGGAACCCCAAAACCTTTCCAGGCACAACAGCCCAATCCTGGTACCTTGGATCTGTTTGTCATTTCATGCCCCTCTAGGCCCGATGAGTTAAAAAGGAAAAACTTTATCCGGTTGGTAGTACCTGTATTGTTATGATGTCAGATCTCGTAAACTCTTCATCTGTCAGTAAATCTCTGAAGAACTTGGGTTTGATGTTCAGTCTTTCAATCGCCTGTCACAGAAACCATACAAACAATTACTAGTCAACTGAGGATGTGTAAAATGTTGCTATTACACACTATTGAAACTCTAATTAGAAATTTGTAATCCACCACTGGTGCAACAAATCAACAATTAATTTACTGAGGCTTGTTAACAAAGATATCCAATAAAAAGGTCTAATTAAGCTTTATTCTAACTAGGGGCATTATATCCACTGGTTTTACTGTTGTAGCACAGTATCTAAAGCAGTAAAATTACAGCTTGTCATTGATTTCATTTGGGAAACGTTTATTTTTTGTTGATTAAAAGAAAGACTTTAATACATGCCAATAAGCTCAACTGTCTGAGTTCTTACCTCATAAGCAAATACATTGCCGCTTGTCCTTATTGCAGTTATGTGTGTGTTTTCATTAAAGATCTTAAAGGTCACTGGACAATGAAATTTTCCTGCCAAAATAGATAAATAATAATAATAGAATGCTTTATTACAATGTTTTCCTAGATTAGTAGAAGTAACTATTTTTGAAGTTTGATTCCATTAATCCACTCCTGTATGTGACTATATCTATGTCTCTCACTGATAATATATCTCAATAGTATCAAAGATTGCTTGGACAGGTATTTTTATGCGTGACATGAAAACAGCAGAAAAATCCAAAGTAAGAGTGATACATATATGATAATCAACATGAAAACACTAAATTTTCTCTTTATCATATTTCTGAGAAAAAACCCCAGCAGATTACTAGTAGATATTTGATAGGATGACACTAGACACTACGAATGTCTCACCATTGTACATGTATTGTAATTTCACAACTTGATATTTCACTGCAGTGAAGATAGAACTTTCATCATATTTAATTCGTGAAAATTCAACACATTTATTGTATCTTAAAGCAGTGTATCTAACTGAATGTGGGACATGTACACACAATACATAACACGTTCATACTTACCTGCAGAGTTTTTGCAGAAATTAAGTTTGATCAACTGTTTTGCAGTGATTTTCTGAAAAAGAGAAACTTCTGTATTGTGCGTTTATTTAGTGGCAGACTTAGAAGTGTACTCAAAGATTTACCCATCCTTGTTTGATGTTAAGTGTTATCAATCATAAATACTCACTATTTTATTTTCACTTTAGCAATTTCACTGCCCAAAACAAAGTTTGTTAAACTTAATAAGACACTGGTCCAGGAGTCTTTTTGCTTGTTGAAATGTTCACATCAGTTATTTAAACAATTTGAAGGGTACACATTTTTAAGAGTTTTGTATTTTAAACATGTTCATGCAGACATAACTTTGGCATTGATTCATAACATGAAATTATCTAAGTTTCCTGAGTGAAAATTCCCAATTTTATAGTGTGATTAACAAAACAGAAGCAATGTACATCTCCTTCAGTGACCTAGTGTCTAGTCGTGGTATGTAGGAAGTTCCATAATCCCTCATTAGAAAGCATTACAAATTGACAGGAGACAACTGTAAGTAACGGACAAAATATTCTGACTTACCTCCCCTGTGATAGGACTGATGCCATACTTCTTTAGGAAGGGAACAATATTCCTATCAACAGAAACATACTGACTGTTTAGAGTTATCTTCACCTCGTATAACACAGCTTATTAGTTCTCCACCACTTCTACTAAACAGAACTATAGGTTTCACTTCTGTCGGTCTGTCCACCTTTATGCCAATTTGTTCAGGATGCTGTTACCTACATTTACTGAATTGTATATGTATCTCTCTTGATAGTGTAAAGTTGTGTACTGAAATCAGGTCTGATGCTCCACGATATGAAGAGCTATGGCCCTTCATCAATTCCGATACCAAAGTTTTCCATCAGTGGGAGACTAAAGATTGCTAGCAATAGTTGGCCTTGTTTTGTTTTTTATGTGTTTTCATGTGTTGACCAATTGAAATCATAAGCTATATAAAACCTGATTAATAACCATATTTGATTCTCTCCAAGAATTCTGTCTAGAGATTAATGAGATATAAAAATGATATGTAAAGACCCTGTTTAAAAGGGGTTAGTCATAATAATGACCCAGATTCAAACAATTACAAAAGATTTTGGTTTCAGTAACACATACCGGTAGTCTAAAACAAATGAAGGTATGCTACTGAAGAAGGTACTTACATCAGATCAAATATTACCCCTTCTTTGGTGCACAGTGGGTTTTCAAATGGCTGCATAGACAGACTGAAATAATATAAAAGTACACGATGAGTTTAATGCAGCAGGAGTGAGTACACTTTATATTTAAAATCATGTCTCCATGGTTCAATCTTTCTTGTAACAGATATTGTTACTGAAACAAATTTTAAGTGTATAAATAGATTGGCACAAAAGAAAGGGCACCAAAAACCAAGTCAGCAATCACTACAATGTTTCAGATTTCCTGCCCAAACAGTTGGGGAAGGTAAACCATTTTTTATCAGTTTTTTTTTTAATTATTTGAATGATATATTGATGAAGTCCTTGTAAAAAATAAGGTAGATTGAGGAACCTGAAATGAATTTGACATTTTTTGTCTTAAATAAATCCCATGAAGATACACAACATCACCCCATTGATAATTAAGTTCTTTACTCATTAATGAAATAAGCTCAAGCTGTAAACTACTATTGTTGACCTGCAGCAGTAGAAAGGGAGACGTCTGAATCGTGAACCTTCTCCTGTTGATCTGTCTCCCTTGTAACCGCCATAGGAATTTTTCCATTCTGTCGTGGTCAGGTATCTATGCATGGAAAACAAAATAAACACATGTTATACTTTGCATTAAAAACTACAGAATAAAAGGAGTACTCTACAGACATAATATATGAGTTTTTTTGTTCAGTGCTTTTCTTCAGTGTATGAGAGGCCGCTTAAACAGGCCGGCTGGCCGCTTAAACAGGCCGAGGCCGGCTGGCCGCTTAAACAGGCCGGCTATTTTTTATCGCAAATAATTCTGCTGAATGCGACACAGTGCTTGTCAAAAGTATCTTGCCGTGTTAATCTCTCAAATTGTTGGATTACACTCGCTGAACAGTATTTAATTATGATTACCCAAACTACATGATTATTTGTATCTGGCATCCATACACTTCTTCAGATTCATAGAACAAATTCAGTCTGCATGTAATGCATACCGACTTTTTGGCTCGTTAATAGATGAGTTTTAATTTCATTTTGGGAAATGAAGTTGAAGTGTTACACTGAAATAATTTATAATGTGTTTACAGTACAGTGCTTGATTAGTCTCCAATTTTCCAATTGAACAAAACCTGTAAATATCATGTCTGAAGCAAATTCTGCAGCATTTAAAGTCAAAACGTTTTTCTTTGTTAGAATACAGAGTGAAAATAAATGTTAAAAGCTGAATAATATATCTGTGGTACGAACCACTACAATCTCTAGTTCTGAGGTTATATGGCCGATCGATCTCATGCGAAAATAACATTAGTCTTTAGTTTATATGCCTATCGGGACGTAGATAACTTGAGAACGATTTTTCTTTGTTAAAAAACGTCTTTGGAATTTTTGTATATGCTAAAAAACCTACAGTTTATCTTTCTGATGTTGTTTCTTTCCCATTTTTGTAGCTACCGGAAGTAAACACGAGATTGTGATTTGTATTGCGGAGTCACTCTTTTGAAACGATTTGATTGGCTGAAATGTTGTCGATATTTAATTATAGAAAAGCACATGTTCAAATCATAAAACTTTACGTCGGTATGTTTAAAAACAATACAACATAAGCTCTAATGAGAAATAATAATAATAATATTTATTCAGGTAAAAGACAAATAATACACTTCTATCACAATTCGCATATTGGACATAAATATATATATATATATATATA